CCCTTTTTTTTTTTTTTTTCCTTAATATCTTGATACATGTCTGCTTAGCATACGGGAAGTCAAGAGCTCAGAAATGTTTGACTGCCTTAAGCTTGCACCTGCAATGCTTCTTCCCACCTGTTTTGTATACCCTTGTGTTTTATTCTCTCACCGGATGGCTTTTTCTATTTGTCTTTGGATGTTTCGTTTATATACTGCAATTGTCCGTAGGTCGGGTTCTGTGGAGTAAAAATAGCAAAAACGAACAGTTAAGCATAAAGCAATTCGTTTACCTTGTGTATCCCGTGTCTCAAAGAGGTATTTTTGGTTGTTCATTGCGCGACAACTGAGTCGAGCACAGCTGGTCACTGAAACAATTGGGCAGCAACAGAATGTTACTCATGAGGGACATTCAGCTGTTACTCATCAGGTTTCACTTGTTGCCCCGGTGGAATGAAACTCTTTTGGGCTCCTAGCCTACGATCTTGCCACCTTTATATGTGCTGAGTATGTGTGTCCATTTCATGTGTCAGATATTCTGTACAAAGTATTTCGTAGAGTCTATATCATAAAATCAGGCCATGCTTACTACTTCTCCTAAATAACACACCGTACTCCTGTAGGAGTGGACATCTTGTCATTCTCGTCACGTAGCTCACTGGCTCCGTGTATGTTGTACGGCGCATAGAGGGCTATGTGCTACGTTACTCTTTTAGAAACATTCACTACTCCGTACTCTAACTTCCTTTTCGTCTGCCTTGCCCTGCTACTTACCAACTTCATCCTCTTCTCACCCTCAGCCTCCTTCCATCTCGCCTACTTCAGCATGACTATCCATGGCACATTGTCTTTTTTAGCGCCCTTATCAATAACGGGGTTATACAGACCTTCGAATACTGAAAACGGCTTCAGATAATGCCGAACAAAGTTTACGAGGCACATTTTCCCTGGCTAGTGGATGCCGTCAAAATGTATCCTCAACTGTTAACGGAAAAAGAAAGCATTCCCGCGTCTCATAAGCAGCATGCTCTCTTCTCTTTAACAAGACAACAACCAATAGATACTTGCTCCCATGATGAGGTATCATGGGCCTTTAGCTCTATACATCAACCAGGAAAGAGCCATACGCGTGAGTCTTACCAGAGGGCAATCGAACCCCCACACTTTTCATGGAATCCGAATGGACAGAATCCCTCCCCGATTTCCATAACGACCGTGATATCTGGTTAGCACGAGATGTCATGTTGGTATTGAAATGGTCTAAATTGTGACAAGGAGGTCAAAGGTGAATCGTTGAAGCCCTAGCCCAGAAATGTCCACCGTGATTCAACGGAAACACGGTCGTCCAGCACAAGGGCACACACGACAATGAAGAAACCCGTTCAGGTTCATCACAACGTCTTCATTGAACCAAAGAAACAACGTCTTCGTGAAGGAGGCACTCGTTTACGCCATGATGTTTGGTTGATCATCGAAAACAGCCTACTATCATGCACCCTTCCCCCTCAGAAAATATATCATATGAAGATGCTCTGCATGGTAAGCTTCTTTCGAGGCCTGCCATGGCTCTGCCACATTCGAACACCTTGAACAGAGAAACCTAGGGCCCACCGTGCCGGTTGAAGTACCGCGTCCTGGACGCAAACATATGGGTCCCTACAGACAAGCAAAGACGTCGAGACTGACAATGGCATACCACCGAACGACTTCAAATGACAGCGGAACAAGTTATTGTGGAACCCAAAAACTGCCTTAGGATATACAAAGAACCTAAGCAGAGGTTACAATATTCGATCAGAATTGGCGGCCCTCGCATGGAACAGCGCAGCGTATCAGAATGCAGTCGACGGCATTGAGATATTTTGAGAATTTCGCCCAAAACCACAGGATGAAGACTCAAGTCGTGGAGAGCAACCCAGTAATAACGCTATCTGATCTCCTGGAACTCTATAGTATTGCTCCAAGCAGCGAATTGTCTCTCGCCTATACGCTGGCCAAGTCGATCTGGCGTTATATAATACCAGACACATGAATGAACACTGGACCCAGTCAATCAATAGGTTCTTTGCATTCCTTTTCAATATTACTGCGTTCATCTTTCGCCTGCTATCGACATTTTGAATCGTCCGTCGAACGCATCGAGGATGCTATCATCTGGCAACCAGATATGACCAACTTAACGGTATAGTTATAGCCGTTTTAATTATCTCAAGACTACAAAGAACTGTAACCGGGAGCCGCCATCGGGACTGTCCAACCCAGTCTATTTGTTAATTTCTCAACTATCTTTAGGGAAAGGACCACGCTGTCGAAAGGCATGTTGAGGGGCAACTTTCTGCACAGGGTACGGAACACCTGGTTCCAGAGGGGCAACTAATAAGCGCTTACTAAAATGTCAATATATGCATGTTGAGCTGGCCGAAGGCTACAATGTATTGGCACTGGGATCTCATTTAATATACAAATCTGCAGGTATGATTTGTATCATAGTTGCCTGGCCAAGTATTGCAATTATTGTTTGGTATTCAGTGTTTGAGGTAGTGTGTTTATGAGGGAAGGTATTAGTTAAATTACTGTAGATATAAAGTAGCTGTGAATATAGTGTCATGGTCATGGATCGTAAAATAATACAGAAAGGGAAATAACCGTTGAGAAAGCGAATGCATCACAATACTAAGGCCTGCCTGATAGCCTTGAGAAACCATTTTGCATCCTCCCATCCTCCGACATCTCCTGGCTTGTCAACCATTGGAGTAAAATTCTCGTCGTCTCTGCTAAAGATCGTAGCGATGTCCGAATAATCTTCCAGATGCTTATCATCTGCTTCTTCTGGTGCAACTTGATGATCTTCCATGACCCGTTCACCATCGGGAGCAGGTGGATTACGATTATCACGATTATCAGGCCCAGCTGAGAATAACGTTGGCCACTCATCGACACCAAAGAACGTCCACTCAACCATCCGATCCAGCCAGCTGCCTAGCCCGAATCCACTCTCGCGCGTCAACCGCTGCATCTCCTTTTCGTCAATCTCGTCCTCAGAATCAGAGGACGCGTCGGAAGCAGATAGCGATGATGACGATGCACCATCGTCCACGTCCACGTCCACATCAACATCAGCGTCCTGCTGCATGTTGATCATTTCAGCTCGGATCTGCTCGTCCACAGCGTCCGGAGTAAATTCGCTTTTCTCGCCAGCGGGTGTAGGTACCCAAGTGTAAGAGGATGTCATCTCAAGACCCGATGTGGCCAGATCAGGCTTGCTACCCCGTCTGCTGGATCGAGAACCCGGTCTGGACGGGGTAGACATCCCCGAGCGAGATTTCTGACTGGCCGCCTTGCTATTAGTACTGCTGCGGGGCCGCGATGACGACGAGGCGGTAGCTGCAGCTGCAGCTGCATGATCCTCGATGTAGGAGTTATTGTTGGCAGCCTCCGAGGCCAGACTCGTCGAACTCGCCCGTTTCACCAGCCAGCTCTGGCCCTTCTCCTCTCGCGTCGACGAGGCAAGCATAATCCCCGTCCGGAGCATCCATTCCGAGTCACTATCGGCCGAGCGCCGTGCGCGAGACGAGGAAGACCGGCGCGGCGTCCTTGTACCATCCTGGTGCATGCGACTTGAGCTCTTGCTCCGGCCATGGCGTGTACGTGTACGGGAGGTACTGCGAGACTGTGACTGCGATAACACGCCGGGGGTTCCTGGGACGGACATGCTGGAGAGGTATGACGCGGGTCTTGGGGTGCTGGTGTAGTCGTTGGAGCTGGGTGGGCGTTCAGTTTCTGGACTCGCAGATCGCGCTGAGTAGTAGCCCTGGGACTCGCTCTCGAGATCGTCATCGTCTATAGGGTATCGGGGGGTCAAGGGGGTAAGCGAGAGGTGGTTGAAGGAAGGGTAGGAGCGGCGGGATTGGAAGCCGGGACGGGATGAGGAGCGCTGTTTGGTCAGTGGATGTAAGGTTAGATGGGCGTAAAGGGTAACATACCTCCATTGCGAAAATGTCTAGGCGATGGTGACAATATCCCTGGAGCTAGAAAAGGTGAAAATCGGGGAGAAAGAGGAAGAGCAGGCGAAATACAGTAGACTCCGCCCGAGGCACTTTCATGTGAAAGCGCACAGCTGGCGACATGTGCGCTGTACAGTGCTGTACAACAGAATGCGCTGGACGTTCCTAAGAAAAAGACAGACTTGTTCTGCACTAGTTCAGATTATTCCTTTCTTAACGAGAAAAACCAGAGAAATGCGATGTCATAAAATTTGCTGACTTATACAAGAGAGAATCCGGGGAAATCCCCGCATTTCCACGGAAAAGTAGATTCGTGACGCTATAAATACAGGAGCCATCATGTCCGTCACTAGATGGATCGTAGAATTTTATAACATAATTTTCGTTCACTCAATCTTGCCCTTGTTGACCACAAAGCCTTCAAGTGCAGAAATGGCAGCCCACAGTCGGTTCTCGGCTTCAGGGAAGACCAACGACCGGTTGCTGTAGAAGACCTCATCGGCGACTTCTTCAGGGTGGCGAGGCAGGCAGTGCATGAACTTCCAGTGTTCCTTGGCACCACCCCGTTTCGCAAGGTCCGCAGTAATTTGGAAGCCCTCAAACTCCTTGATCTTCTGGATCTTCTCAGATTCCTGACCCATTGACACCCAGGTATCCGTAACCAGCACGTCCGCGTCCTTAACAGCCTCCTCGGGAACGTTAGTCTGGGTCAGCTTTCCGGCATTGGGGACACTCTCGCCGGCCTTCCTGATGATCTCCAGCATGTGAGGAGGAATCTCGTAACCCTTGGGTGTAGCGACGGCAATGTCCACACCCAATTTGGCTGCACCAATGGCCATATCAAACAAGACGTTGTTGGCGTCTCCAACCCACGCAATCTTCAATCCCTCCAATCCCAAGCTAGACAGGTTGTGGCCTTTGGACGGGAAACTCTCGTAGATAGTCTGAAAGTCGGCAATGGCTTGCAACGGGTGGTACGAGTCGCAGAGGGCGTTAATCACAGGCGAAGTCGAGTGCTTCGCAAGATCCGCAACATCGGAGTGTTTGTTGACCCGGGCCACAATACACGAAACCATAGACGAAACCACCACAGATGTGTCGTAGAGTGACTCATTGACACCCAGTTGAATATCATCCTTGCCCAGGAACATAGGATGACCACCCATCTGCACAACGGCACCCTCTGTCGAAATTCTGGTGCGAGTACTCCGCTTGCTGAAGATCATGGCCACGGTCTGTCCGGCCAACGAACCCATCAGGTTCTGGGGCATTGTGCCCGATTTAATGGCCCGTTTGTGCGAAGAGGCATTGCGGACGAGAGCAGTGAATTCGGCGGGCGTCAAGTCGGCAATCGAGAGGAGATGGCGAGGCGCGAAAGGCGAAGTGGGAGGCATGGCGGGCGACGAGGGGGAGGTGGAGGAATATTGGCGCACAGCTCTGGTCGGGAGTGACTTGTAGCTGGCAGTGCGGGCAGCGGCCAATCTGAGACCGCAAGACATAGCGTTCGGAGGAGAGTTAATGTGGATATCTGATAAGAACAATTGCTTTGTATTCAATCAGAATCCAGAGATTTCAAAAGAGCGCCGGAAAGCGTTCAAAAATAAATGAGTCAATGCAGCACAGAAAATAATAATGATGCGGTCGTCGTACGGTATGTTTGGGTTGGTATGGTATTGGTATGTAATATATGCATCCGGTAATACCAATACGCCTTACGTCGATGACCATCACCAGTTGGCGCTGGGAGAGCTTCAACTATTCCATTTCTGTCTTCTTCAACAACATCACATCATCATCCTTACTCTTATATATTCATCGAGTATACTCTTCTCTCGGTTTCTCCATCTTCATTCTGACCATAACTTGTACAATTTGTATCCTCTTTCCACTCCCTATCCGTCTATCTCTCGATATCATCTTATCTCCCGTTCTCCCCACCCGTTCCAGCGTCATGGCTGACGAGGAAGATAGACCTCTGCTGGACGGAGGCCCTGAATCATCCTCTAATCCTCAACCTCCATCGGTCATGGACTCTTCGGCGACTCTGATGGAGCAAGAACCCAGACCGTATGAATTGGCCTCCGAATCGACACCACTAATAGCCCGTCGGGACGATGATGAAGCGTTGGCGTATGGGACGGACACAACACAGCGTCGCTCTTCATTCTCAGACATTGTCTCGAAAAAGTCTAGATCCCGGTTACAGTGGCCGATCATATTTACTTTGGTTTTATTGGCAACCGTCCTGGCCGTCCTGATATTTGCTTTTGCTGCTCCGGCTGCGGTAAAGCGATACGCCGAGGAGGCTACCGTATTCAAACCCACACATCTATCGATTGATTCAGCAACATCAGATGGAGTTCGAGCTCGTGTACAAGGGGAATTCGTTGTCGATGCCAATCGCGTACAAAGAGGGACTGTTCGAAACCTTGGTCGCATGGCCACATGGATAGGAAGGGAGGTCGAAACCAGCCAGTCGGATCTAGAAGTATATCTGCCAGAATACGGAAATGTGCTCGTTGGGACCGCATCGTTACCGTCGATTAAAGTTAATGTCCGGAACGGACACACGAATCATGTCGATGTCCTGGCCGATCTGGCAACAGGGAATATCCCCGGCATCCGTGCAGTGGCCATGGATTGGCTGGAAGGAAGGCTTGGTCAGTTACGGGTCAAGGGGAAAGCGACGTTACATCTGAAGTCTGGACTATTGAGCCTTGGGAGGCAAACAGTTTTCAAGTCTATCGCTTTTGAAGGTTTGTATTGGGTCACTGCCATTGCTTTGAGTAGAAATTCTAATAGTACTTACAGAAAGCGACTTCCCTCGTATACCTGATGTCAAAGTCGACAAGTTGATCGTGCGTGACCAAGACATTTCTGCGGAAAAGGGCGCAATGGTAGTTGATGCTTCCATCACTGCCATGCTCGATTTTCCGTTTGCCGTCCGAATTCCCCCGCTTGGGTTCAAAGTCCTCGTTCCCAACTGCTCGCCAGGTGAACCCCATATCTCCGTGGCAGATGTCCGGACCGAGGAAGTCCAGATTGACCCAGGTCAATTGACTAGGATGGACGTCGGTGGCTTGATCAAAGGCCTTTCTGAAGAATTGACGACAACTTGCCCGGGGCAGAAAGACTCGCCGCTTGACTTCCTTGTGAGGAGTTATGTCAACGGCCGTACAACCACAATTTATGTCCGAGGAGCTGAGAGCGCTTCCCTGGGCACGCCATTATGGATGGTGGATCTTCTGAAGAGCGTCACAGTGCCATTTCAACTCACTGGGCATGCCTTGGACAACCTTATCCAGAATTTCACCATGTCGAATGTGCATTTCTCTCTTCCTGACCCATTTGCGAATCCAAATTCTCCGGAAGCATCGCCCAGAGTCTCGGCCTTGGTGAAAGTCCTCATTGATCTACCAAAGCAGCTTAACTTGACGGTGGACATTCCACATATTCGCGCAGATGCTGATGTGTTATACCACGGAAAGAAGCTTGGGGTTCTGGAACTGCATAAGTGGCAGCCTGCAAATTCGACTCGAACGGTAGACGCAAATGGCTCCCCCGCTTTGTTTGTGGACTTCGCCATGAAGGATGTACCGCTCAGAGTCACGGACGAGGATGCCATGGCCGATATCCTCCAAGCATTGATTTTCCTAGGAAAATCGGTTCAGCTTCACATCGCCGCGGCTGTGGATACCGAAGTCGCAACAGGATTGGGGAACGTCGCTGTACGTAGGATACCAGCAGAGGGGGATGTGGACGTTAAGCGTAAGTCTGCATATCTCTACTCTCTACCCATTAGCTGATTGATGTTTTAGCTCCATACGGTGGATCCCTGAATCAACTGAATCCGCGGATTGAGTCTCTGGAACTAGGACCGACCACTGAATCTTCGGCTCTTATAAAAACCAGGATAAACGTTACAAACCCGACAGAGTACTCCGCAACAGTACCACTAGCAGACTTCGTGTTGCTCTATAACACTACTCCGGTTGCTCATGTCTCAACTCGTGATATCTCAGTTGTCCCTGGAGTGAACACAGGTATTCCGGTCGACTTTCTCTGGAGCCCTATGGACGCAAGTGGATCCGATGGCATAAGCGCTGGTCGCGAAATGATGTCACAATACGCTTCTGGTGAGTAGATACCCTTTGCCAACATTTCTTCTTTTTTTGACACCGGATGCCAGGTTACAATACTACTGTCACCATTAAGCCCCACCAGGGCACAATTCCCGCGTTGCCCAAGCTCGGTGAAGCAATGTCTAAATTGGCATTCGATATGCAAGTGCCGAATGTTCCTGTTCCTCGATCTCACGAGGATACCGATGGTGATGGCAAGCCGCACTTTGTTCAATCCGCAATGTACGTGTCCTGTCCCGGAGATTGTTATTGAATCTAGCTTACCTGAACTTCAGGGTACTATTGTCTTCTTTTGCTTGATTTTGCGTATACCTGAAGACACTTGATTTGCTCTTTTCGGTGGGCATTTCTCACCTTCCTATATCTGATATACCCCATCCATTTTCCCCAAGACGTAAGTCGTCTCATGGACAGCTAACCTTGAGCGTGCTTTCAGCTGCATCTCTTTTCATCAACTGCCGATTTCATTTTATCTTCGCCCCTATCCAAAACCACGATTGAGATCACCTCAGTGAATGCCACCGCATTCTACGAGCATGACGAGGCCGTTGGTCAAATTGACTATCGATTTCCTTTCCATGTACCACCGGGACTTTCACGCTCTCCCCGGCTGCCGGTTGACTTGGATTTCTCGACCATTGGCTATGGTGCTATCAAGGAGGCCCTGGGAGGCTCTTTGAAGATGAATACATTGGCTGAAGTTGGCGTTCGGATTGGACACTATAGAACTATAATCGACTATAGAGGCAGGGGGATCTCAGCTCATATTCGGCTTTGATTTCTCTGCTCTTTTTGGGTTTTCTTGGGATTTCTTTTTATTCTTGGACACGAACTCATTGGATATGACATGACACTGGCGTTCAGGTTGGGCTTTTTTTTTTTTTTTTTTTTTTTTTGGGTACTGAAGGCCGTATTCTTATATCAATCTCAAATAGACACGGTCAACATTGCTACAGCCATCATCCCATGCCATACAATACACACCAAGCGGTAAGAAAGAAAAGTATTAATTCACATCGGATTTTACAGACAATGGAAGTCTACAATATCAGTTGCGCGTAGGCATCAAACCAAACCAGGATAAATAGACAAAAATACAGCTCATGTTCTTTTCATACAGAATAACTCATAGCGGACATGTTCTGTTTAACCAGGAGGAAGAGTGCTTGCATCGACAACATCGGCAGCCTCCTTCTCGGCCTCCTCAGCCGGCTCGAAAAGAGGAGAACGAGGCAGGGCCATCAGACCGGTTCTGGTGGACTCGAGGATACCGAAGGGAGCAATCAGCTTCATGAACGAGTCGATACGGTTGGGCTTTGCGGAGCTGTTGATCACATTAGTTAAGATTTCTTCGGAGTTACGTTGGTATGAACTTACATTTCAACAATGCAGTTGTTGGTGCTAATGTCCAGAACCTTACCACCGAACTGGTGGGCCAGGCGGGTGATAGCATCCAAGTGCTCGTGCTTGTGTCTCAGAGCCTGACTGGGAGGAAGATGACGGGGGTGGTATTCCTTGTTCTCATTCATCTCCGCAATCGACTTCTTCTCCTTGTGACCTTCCAAGGTCTCCCCGGGAGTGGTAATCTCACGGTGGTGCTGCAAAAGCTCCTCGAAGAACTCCGGGCCCAGAATGCTAACCTTAGCCAGCAAGAGTTCGCGCTGCACAAGAGCAGATTCCGTGTAGTCCAGGACAGCCCAGACAGGGACCAGATCATCTAGCTGACGACGAGCCTGCTCGACAACACCGTCCTGACCCTGAAGCACAATGGTCATCCGGGACAAATCCTCCACCTCGGTATTACACACGACCAGACTGTCGATGTTGAAGCCACGGGCAGCCAGGATACCCGAGATCCGGGACAGCACACCGGGCTCGTTCTGGACGAGGCAGTTCAGGACATGGCGCTTGGGCGGGTTCGTCGGCGCCACGGGGGTCTCATACAGGATCGAGGAGACGGCCGTCGGAGCGTCCCATTGCGGGGAGGTATCCGAGACGGGCAGCGGGAGAGGCGAGCGACGGTGCAAGGCCTTGTAGGCAAGAGCGGAAGTCGAACTCGACGAGGATCTGGAGAGTGTGAATCGGGGAAGAGCGGGGGCTGCTCGAGGAGCGGTCCTGGCGGCGGTCGACAGCGTCGATGCGGCCGCGGCCGCGGCCGTCAAGGGACGTCGGAAAGCCATGATCACCCGAAACTGGGCCTGCGAAAATGGCTGGCAGGCGAAGAAACGGGGGAGCACAGGTCAATTCCTATTCAAGGACTGTGGATATGAGGCACTAATGCGGCGGCCAACACGAAGCCTCGCATTTTATATCGAAAGGAAAAGACGAACTCCCGAGGTCGGAGCGCTGAGTCATCGCTCGTCACGCGGTGACAGTACCGCGAGTCCCTAAAGGGGTTAGCGGGTGCAGCACCTGATCTCTGCTGTGTTGAGCCTCGTTGAGATCCCTTCTTGGTAATTTGGACTGCCGGGGTACTCAGCGACAGGTGATCGCTCTGGGGTCTTTCATCTCATTCTTTAACCATCTTATACTTACTCTACAGCTCATAGTACTCCCATAACCGAGTATCATTCCGGTACATATCAGTTCACTTAGTGTCCGCCGGGATCGTCTCGGACTCCACCAAATCCTTTCTCCGTCGTTTTCGCAGTCCCTCTACGGAGCACCGTACACTTGCCTTGGGATTTTCCGCATATCCTTACGACCATTCCCTGTCACAGGCTTATCAGCAGCTTATTTTTCTGCCATGGCTGACGACGATCGCCGTAAGCGTTCCCGTTTCGACCAGACGGAACCAGAGCCCCGACGCCCGTCGCGTTTCGACCGTCGTTCTCGATCTCCCTCGTCTCGACAATCCGAAACTACTCGCACTCGCAGCCCTCTAAGTCGCGAACCTGGAAGCCCTGGTGCAGACACGGGAAAGAAATCTAGTGGAGACCCTGCCGCAGCCGCAGGTAGGATCGCTGTTTTTGCATATTTGGGTATGAAGTTTTGGGCTGATTGCGATATACAGCTGCCGCCGCGGCCAAGATCAATGCTCAGTTGCAGGCAAAGAAGGGTATTCAGCATGTCGATGTGCCTCCAATTCGCTCGGTAAGCATACGCTGGATTGCCAGTGAATTTTGGTTCACTCGCTGACTTGTTTATCTAGACGTCGAGTCCCGCACCGCAATCCGCCTCGCCGTCGAACGTTGATGCTTCCGGAAAGCTGAATGCTGAAATCTACGTTGCTGACGGAGACTATATCAAGGATATCGAGATCAATGACTTGCGCAATCGCTACACTCTCACAAAAGGCTCTACTCAAAAGATGGTAATTACTCCTTGTTGTACTTGCTGATCCACCAGGCATTTACTGCCAGCTACCTACTAGCTGCTTCCTTTCTTTCCTCTTTTTGGTTTCTTGTCTCTCCAATCCTTGTGGTTGTGATTATGCTTACCCAAATCGAAACCGCATAGCATCCACACCCTCATTTGCATCTGCTGACCTCCGCTGCGTGAATTTAGATTAAAGATGAAACTGGCGCGGGTACGCCTTCCATGTCCACTGCTGTTTTGAGTATAGAAGGAAGCTCATCTCTTTTTCTTTTCAAGATGTCACGACCCGAGGCAATTATTATCCGGATAAGAGCTTGGCTACTGCCGCGGTATGTGATACTTTTCCAGTGGATTAGGATACGGCTTGCTGATGGACATTGTCTCACATAGAATCCCCCTCTGTTCCTTCATGTGACGAGTACGAACAAGGACGGGCTCGAAAAGGCCGTTGAAATCATCGATGATCTCATGCAGAAGGAACTCCCGAACCTGGTCGATGAACGACGATTCCGTCGACGTGAGCCACCGGAGCCAGTGGAACGTGATGAATATGGTCGTGTATGAAATGCTCCTACTACCTGCGGATATTCTTTGGCCCCTTGGCAAATTCAAGAAGCTAAAGAGGAAGCTAATTTCGTCACAGCGCAAATGGCCCGAAGAGCGTATTCCTGTTGACCTTGAACCGATTCCCGGATTCAACCTTCGCGCCCAAGTAGTCGGACAGGGCGGTGCTTATGTGAAGCATATCCAGCAAAGAACCCGCTGCAAGGTCCAAATCAAGGGCCGCGGATCTGGCTTCATTGAGCACAACACCGGCAGGGAAAGTGATGAGCCGATGTATCTACACGTGGCGTAAGTATCGCATGTATGCCTTGATAATCAATTTACACCTCACTAACTATCTGCAGTGGACCCGATCCCAACGATGTCAATACCGCAAAAGAGCTCTGCGATGACTTGCTCGCCAATGTCCGTGAACAGTACCAACGGTTCAAGGAAAACCCGCCCCAGCACAACTACGGTGGTGGCTATGGTCAGCGAGGAGATCGTCACCATGGTGGACAGGGTGGACAGGGTGGATACGGCGGTGGTGGTTATGGCGGCTACAACAACCATCACCAACAACAATACTCGCCAGCCACGGAAAGCCCATCCGGACAGGCCACCCCTGCAGCATCCACCGCCGGTGCTGGTGTTGGTGCTGGTGCTGCTGCCAGCGCAGCTGACTACAGTGCGCAATACGCCCAATACTACGGAACCGACCCGTACGCTGCATACGGCGGTTACCAGAACTATGTCGCCTATTATCAATATTACCAACAGTATGCTCAACAGCAACAGGAACAGCAGCAACAATCGCAAGGTTCTACCCCACAGCCGCCTCCGCCATCTGGCGAAGCTCCCCCGCCCCCGCCGCCAGGCTCTGGTTCTCCCCCTCCGCCTCCGCCTGGAGGTGCTGGTTACAGCGCTGTAAGTATCAACGTCTTTGTTCTAAATCCGTGGTATAGACCAATGTACTGACATGATCATCTAGGTTCCTCCGCCGCCGGGTCTGTAATTGTACCTTGGATCTCATTTGACCCAGGAAGGGTGGAGGCTTGCTTAGAACGGGTGGCTTTGTGTTATGGTAGATTTGCGGGCATGGTTCGTCAAAGAACTATATGTGGACATGCTGATTCTGAAGACCCTGAGGGGTTGTCAATTGGTTAGCTTGCGGCTGAAGCTGCAGCCAAGTATGTGCAGCCAAATAGTCTAGAAAGATAGCTAATGTATACCATTCTGGACCTTGCAAGATCCCTTAAACTAATAGACACCCGGAACAACACGTTTTTTAAGACCATAGAAATCCTCCACATGCCAAATATTTCCGCCAGAAACTTTCCGCCGTTCACGACGTTTGCTCCTCTCTTCCCACCTTACCATCATTGGTTTCTACTCGCCTGCAACCGAGCCCTTCGCCTTTGGGGCTTTGATTTCCTCCCTCTGATCGTGATTCAGAACATTGTGAAGTAGGCCAGTGTCATGATTGAATGCGATATGATCCTCTCGGGCCTGTTTCATGAGATCATGGAGGAAATTATGAATGGCTTCAACTTCTTGTTTGATTATCCTGCGGTAGGACCCTAACCAGGTATCCGTACGCATGTCGTAGTTCATACTACAATGACCGAAAAATAAAACATTATTATTTTGTTCAAAAAAGACGAGAGTCATTTATTGCAAGCTTACCTAGCGACCATTTGGAATCCACAGTTTTGACACTGTGTCTCCTAAGACCAGTTCTGAAAAGCGCATGGAGGACATCTCTTGACGGGGTCTCTGCCTCGTCTTCTTTCTCTGAGCCGGGTGAATTTCTAGGGCTAGAGGGCGACAGACAATGTAGTAAGGATGAGAGGTACTTTCAGCATCTGATTTTAGTCCTGGTCCATTTTGAGGGGCGTTTCTTCTCACCCATATCAAAGAAGGTCTCGTTTAGAAGGCCTTGTGGCGTTGAGTTAACTAGTGTCCCTGTTTTTGGCCTGAACCAAAATGGCACCTGCGAAGCATTGTACGGCTGGTCTGGCTTGCCCCAGTAACATGGTATGAACAAGTCATACAATTTCTGTCTTGGAGCGCACTGTAATGCCGCTGAACGACGCAGCAGGCAGTGACAAAGATCATGATGAGGCGCACACTTGATACGTGTTTAAGGCGTCCAGTTTTGTCGAATCAATCGAGCTTATACCTTTGTGGTGATCATTCGAAAACATAGCTGAAAGGAACGATTTAATTGTAAACCGCAGAATTTTTCTTTCCATACCATATGTTCTCTCGACAAGTCTTCTGGTTGCGAAGTGGTTATGAGTTGTTGAATCCTGGGTCGCTTGTTCCATCGATTCAGGTTGTCTTTTTCCGCCGAGTGCGGTAGGGTTTCGCAAGGTTGACTGCACCAGCGGCCATACATGGCCGTCAAAGGTAGGTAGAAACCCATTCCAATACAAATGCATGTCTGCGACAGTTGTCTTCACAGCAAAACCCGCCACGCGCCCTCGAGAAGCGTTCGGTAATTCGTTTTATTACCTATATCGAAGGCCGTCTTCTCTGCTGGGGTTCGCTTCGATGACCCTCCATCTATTCTTTGGCACGTTCGTTGCCTATGCTGCGAGTTAGATTATTCAATCCGGGGCCCAAATGGATAATATTCAGTCAGCATCATGACATGCTAGACTTACAGTATTCAAAGGTCGCTTGAAGGATCCCGATAGCAATTGCATGGAACCATATGTTATCGGCTCTCATCAAACATCAATTCTGTACATGGTGATTGTCGGTCAATTCGAAATTCGAAATTCGTAACCCGAAATAGGAACAAGATACCGAATCTGGAGCCATTGAGGCGAGACTATTTGTCCCACCACATTTGTGGATCATGACGAGGCACGGTTTGCTAGTAGATTTCTGGTGGCAATCTAAGTTGGCAAGTCCTTCTAAGCAGGCAATCAGGACTTGCCTGCATCACTTCATTGCATAAAGGTCGGTGATCCAGTGGAGGACCGCTGAGTGGAACCGCTAGGTATTATGAGGGCCGGTTGGGGCCAAATGCTAATGGTAGAGCTCGACCGGGAGACAACAATACATCCAGTTTCGACTCTGTTGACAAGAACAGATACCAGATCCTATGCTCTAATCTTTCATCAACCTGTCCAGTACCTGTCATATTCTCTGGATTGACCTTATCCAAGTTGTCGTGCTTCCTTTTGCAACTTGGTTGTTGGTCCCTCACATGCATCACACACCATTTCATGGTGTACTCCACCATCCCCTTCAACAAATGATGCAGAGGTTCAACCATCATGGCTGCGTATATTTTTGTCCAACTATGTCTTCACAGCTCTTCCTGCATATAGCTGTGTGTTTGAAATGGCCAACTCTCACAGATGCTCTCTCTTGTTGGCAGGTATATCAAGCTGATGATCCGATTCAACGCAATAAATCGCCCATTCCCGGCATCCTCCATCAAGCACCATACCCCACTAAAAACAATTATGAAGAAGGGGCCATTTTTTATCCTGGAGATCCTAACACGCCAAAGTGCTTTCGAGGTCCTGGACAGCCGCCTGAAGTTCTTCCATTGAATCACATGAAGATTGTTCCAATTCTCTCCGTATATTCTCGTTTGCATGGTTAAAGATATGACGAAGTGGACCTCTGATGCAGGAGTCCGAGATTCCTCTTACGGGGGTCACCATCTCATCGAAGGAACTGGTGGTTGAGTGATGATGACTTTCTCCAAAGACTTGAAGAACGCAAAAACCACATCATAGGCAGTCTGGACCTCTATTGGCTTGGTCATCACTGCTTCCCACATTCGCAACAGATCATCTTCAAAGCCTGCGATTTGCTAGGCGTCGCGAGTTCTTTCCAATCTCTGACGGAGCTGTCTGGTCTAAGGGCAGGGAAACACCAAGATCGCAGAGAATGGCAAGCTGGTTCAGCACGAATTGAAAGTCATCTAATAGTAGAGAGCTATCAGTAACTAGCGAAAATCGCAAGTGTTTCGGTACGTACCTTTCTCGAGAGATTTGGCGACCAGACCCTTCAGTGGAAGATTAGATTCCTTGAGCTTCTTGCCCAACTGAGTGTTGACGATTCTAGCCCATGCCTCGATATCCTTTTTGGATTCCTTGTCCAGCGCCATCATGGGCTGTTGGGCGATGTTGGCGAATGGGGCGGATGTCATGGTGGGGAGAGACTGCATATAAAGTCTAAGCGAACAGGCATCAAACGAGTGAATACGTCATTTTCTTTATTCAGAAAAGGAGATAAAGGAAAGGAAAGGAAGGAAAGGAAGAGAAGGAAGAGAAGGAAGAGAAGGAAGAGAAGGAAGAGAAGGAAGAGAAGGAAGAGAAGAAAATAGCAGCTGGATCTAATTTTAGCATGCGTGAAGCAGCTATTCGTAAATTGAAAACAACGCCGTAAAATGCACCCTGCCACCCAGGATATCCCAGACACCATATATGAGAAGCAAATAACAAAATCAGTTCAAATATCTTCAACGAAAAGCCCTTGGAAACATGAGCTGCATAATCTGCGCCATGCCCGGGTCAACAAAATCCTCTGGGGCACTCTCAGTCACCATCCTCGACTTACGCACAGCAACCGCTTTTGGCCCTTCCTTGCAAATATCGCAAGCATAGTCACACGGAGACGAGTTCTCCTCTGACTTTACAACTCCATTCCCAGAGTTATCCCAATTCGCACGGAGCCTCTCAAGCTCGTAGTCCCCAAAAAGCTCCATGATCATCTCATGTCTGCATCGATGCGTCGTCTCACAATACCGTACTACCTTTGAGAAACTTTCAAGTTGCGCTTGGAGATTCGCTTGGGATGTGGCCTTCTTTATCCCGCGATTCGGGGCGTCCTGCGCTGTTCGCTTGAGTCGGTCGTTCATCCTCTCTCGTTCCTGTGCGTTATAGTAGACAATCGACGCAGCGGCTCGACCATCACGTCCTGCACGACCAGATTCCTGCACGAAGCTTTCAAAGCTCTTAGGTGGAGTCCAGTGCACCACAAACCGGACGCAGGGGTTATCAATCCCCATGCCAAAGGCCGTCGTCGCGACGATAATGGAGAAGCTTGGTGGTGGTTTATCTGGTTCCTGCGGTTCGGATGCTGGAAACGGTCGTGGGGAAGTCCACATTGCCTGGATATTCGTTCGTTCTTCCGCAGTGAAACCGGCATGGTATGCTACTGCGTTGATGCGGCCGTTGCTGGAGTGGGTGAGGGCATTGGCGACTTCTTCTGCGGCTTTGCGGAAGCAAACATAGACGATTCCGGATATTGGGGGGAGATTTGTGGTATTTGGGCGTAATCTTTCCTTGCGGCGGGCGTCGATGGAAAGGAGCCATGAGATGAGGTTGTTTACTTGAAATGGCTCGGCTACCAACGGGTCGCCGGCGTAGTCTTCGAGGTATTTGACTTCGTAGTGGATGTTGGGTCGTGCAGAGGGCGTGTTGAATATTTCCATCTGCTCAGCGTTCAGCCCAAGCAAGCTGATAATATCAGCACGGACTCGTGGCGTCGCCGTCGCTGTAACAGCTGTAATTGAAACAACTGGATCCTTCAAGGTAGTCTTAAACCACGAAAGCTCCTTATACGCTGGGCGAAAGTCATGGCCCCATTCACTGATACAGTGAGCTTCATCGATGGCAACCCGCATAAGTTGCCCTTGAGCATGAACGGTCTGCAAAGTCCGCCGGAACGTCTGCGTCTGACATAGTTCTGGAGTCACATAAAGCAGACGGGCTCTGGGGTGCCCCGAGAGAAGATCTTCAGTGATCTTACGTCGCTCGAATACTGGTGTTGTGGAGTTGATTGTCGCCACTGCTACTCCGATGGCTTGGAGGGCATTGACTTGATCTGCCTATGGTTCAATCAATACCTTGCATAGCATGTCAAATACGGCAGCCGCGGGACTTACCATCAACGCAAGTAAAGGACACACAACAACCGTGACTATTCAACACAAATCAAGGAATTCACATTACATCTCAGTTAATGTCCATCATCAAGAGATCGATTAAGGATAACCAACCGCCATGACTGACCACAGCAGGCAACTGAAAGCACAAACTCTTCCCGAACGATGTGGACGCTTGTAGAAATATATCATGGCCCTCAACTGCAGCCGTAATCACTTCTCGCTGAAGGGGTCTGTCAAATATATCAGCTTTTTACTCAGTCTCGAGTGCTTGTATGTACGAGGTGGGGGGGCGCTTACCGGAACGAATTCTTGCGAAAAACTCGATGCAGGTAGAAATCTAAGTCCACTGTGCGACGCTTGAGCGCACCGGGTGCCATCTCTGCGTCATTGGTCGTGATCAGGACGTGTGGACATGAACATGTTGCTGTGGTTTGGGTCGACGCGGGAGACGCTGCGAAAGGTACGCGATATCACGTGATTTTGTAAGGACGACGACACTATGCTGTCAATGATATAGCCAATTGGGCCAGTTTTCATTGTTATAGCTTCAATAGAACAGATAAATAGAAGATTGCTCCTTAAGGATATAGAGCATCTCAGCAATGTGATATGGGTCAGCTGCCGGAGATGTATATCTGCAACATCGGACCTTACAAGAATACTGCAGTGAAATAACTCGTAGAACATCATTTTTACCAAAGGGTATATATAACACAGGTCTATCGTAATATACAAAGAGTTGAAGACCCCTCAGTGCACGCCCCCGATTCGATTCAATTGCCTCTCCAGTTCTTCCCTCACCACAATCACATCCTGCATCTTGCGCTTCTCGGGTTGCCAAATACGCTCAAGCTTCATCCAAACGTCCATGACTTCGTCAGGACCGCAACAGGTGCCAAAGGCGCGGAGAATTGCGATGTTCATCCGACGGCCGAGGAATACACCGTTTTCGATCCGGCGTTCTAGCTCCTCCAGTTCATCTTGTTGGGGCTCCTGTTGGACGCGGGTTGGAGTGCCGAAAAGCTCATCCACGTCTACCTCGATATCTTCAAAGCTGTCGCTAGTCGTACCAAGCTCGTCGTCTTCCTCTTCGCCTGGGTTCTCTTCTATCTGCGGCTCCGAGTTTTGGGTTTGGCCTCCTTCAGACTCAACATTTGCACTTAGGGTGGCCGATGGTAGTGCTGTATAAAACCCACTTGATCCGTCATCTGTTGGACGCTTCGGCTTCAATGCCGTGGCTGCAGCCGTGCTTGCGAGTGGGTTCTCCCAGACAATATTTCGTGTTTGTGGAAGAAAGCGCTCTTCCATTCTGTGCTTGGACTCATGAAGAGCACGAAGGAAAGCTCTCCATGCCTCCTGCAACCGTTCAGCGGACCAAGCCTTTCTTCGGCGCCCGTGTTGCGCAAAGCCTTCGAAAAGCAACAGGTATATCATGCCGCGAGGAGGAACTGCGAATGTGTTCTCCATGTCTGCCAGGACCGACATGAAGCCTGGCAAATCACCCGACTCGTGGGCGTGAAATTTGAGGAAGACGTGGAAAGTGCGTGTATCTGGAGTCATGGGTAATGCGTCCTGGAGCGCATCATAATGTTCGGGGAGCTTGATTTTTAGTAGCATAGAAAACTTGAGGAGACGAGTTAATTTCTGAGCTCTTTTGCGGTAAATGTTGAACTCCGAAGACAACGTCGGTGAATGATGGTTTTTCCCATCGACGAGATGCTTCTGCGTAGTCGCCTGCGCTTGCATCATGCGAAGATACAATAGTTCTGCAGTCTTTACCTGCCCGGCTCGGATGAAGGAGGCCAACAGACAGTTGAGAACCATAGTGTCCACGAATTCTCCGCTATCCACAAATTCGTTGTAAGTACGGCGAATGCCCTCGAAGTCTTGCCGCAACCCATGGTAGTAGATCATGGTGACCTTCCCACAGCGGTCAAAACCAAGACCACGCTTTCTCATTTCCGCTACTAACCGATCCGCCACAGTAAATTGGCCAGCTTTGATAGAAACGTCGAATAATGTGTTGAAGGCAACATGATCTGATTTGATGCCAGCCACATGCTCCATTTGCTGCCATACCCCAATCGCTCTTATCAGGTCATGCTTCTTCACTCTACCGGCTGCACGGCCAGCCAGGTGAATAGCAGAAGTCCATAGGGAACGGGACATAGGGAGGCCGGATGAGATCATATCTTCCACCAACGCAAGATAACGGCGAGCATCAACCCAGCGGCGTTCTGGGGGTCTTGAAAAACGTCGTAAAAGCTCACCGCGTGTCCGTTTTGAGAAGTAGGACACACCAGGAGAGGGGACATCCCTGTAGAGTCGAAAGATATACTGGTTCGATTTCTCCTCCTGCCAGAGTGCCGTAGCCAGATCTCTCACTGATGGAATACCAACGCGACTCCGTTTACTTGTATTTCTATGCATATTCCTCCAACGCTTGAGGATCTTTAAACGCCGAATTTTCCGCGGGTTAACCGTATTATCTCGAGACACAGTGTCGACTGCCTCTTCCCAGTTCAGACTTTCCCCGAAAGCTGCATGGTATAGTTCCGAAGTAGCCGTGTATTTTTCTGCCGCTGGAGTCAACCTTCGAGTGCGGGGTTTGATTGGATGGATCGATATATTCGAAGTCGATGAATCCGACCCAGAATCGAGTGAGGTGGTACTTTCATCGGGAAGTGTGCTATTTTGTTCATTCGAGGAGGTTGGCGTATCGGTTGAATCCTGATCAGGTCGATCTGGCGGCTGATGTGGTGGACTGTCATTCAAGTCTTTCTCCCGGTCCCACTCTGCTTCCTCATGACTCTCCCCAAGTGAAGGATCTTGCTCCGCTGGCCGTTTTCTCGAGCTATCCTCATCGTGGCCCCAATCCTTTACACTCTGCGCAACCCCACTGCTGAACATCCGCTGCGTTCTTGAACAATGTACTCCCAGTCTCTCTACCGGTGATCTTAGACAGTTCAGATATTTCCTTGACGATGACGATGGCGACAATTGCCTCTTGCCAGCCACACTCCAGCCATGCCACCTTGGTACACTATTCGTCGACCCCATGCATATTGTAGATATCCTTTTCCCCCGAGGAGAATGCTCATGGCAAAAACTCGCTATCACCAGGGAGCTGACGAAAACGTCTGCTATTGAAGCAACTGTCGGCCGTGGACGTCTGGGACTGAATCTTCTGATCGAGGCATTGTGGGACGAGGGTTCTGGTTGAGGCATCGAACTGGACTTAGTAAACAGTTTTCGCTTCGGCCCCTGGGACAAAGGGGCCCGCGGGTTCGACGCGCTTTGAGATCTATTGGGATGAGGCATGAGGCGGCAGACATCGTGGCATTGGGTCAACCATGCATGTCCAACAAAAATCTCGAGGCAGCTTGACGAGAGCAGGGCAAGCTGCTCTCCAAGCAGACGGCGGAGGGGCGCTAAGTAGCAGAAAAAAAAAAATAAGCAAAACAAGCCGGACCAGCAAATAATTGACCAAATCAAAGACACAGCTGAGGGGAAATTGGTGTTAGTGGTTGAATTATCGCGAGGACTTGGTCTCTGTTTCTTTCTGCTTTGCGGAGCCCGCTGTCTTGGCCAATCGGAGGCGGGTATTGTCAATCCGCTTTTTCACGGCGACCACACTCTTTTGATACGACGGACTTCGGACTGACTGACTCCACGGCCTCGCTCGCAGCGCAGCGCAGAGGAGAAATTGTGTCTATTGTTTGATAGCAAAGGCTCTACTGATATTGTATTCTACGCGTGTTGTTCTATTTTAACCAAACCAGCCCGTGAACCAGCCTTTTACCCCTCCCACGCCCCCCGAACAGCCATGGGCAAACTCAACCTCACAGCCCTTCGGGTGCGGCAGACGGCCATCAACCAAGCAGCAGCCGGCAAGATCAAGAAAATTCCGCAATGGGTCGATGTAGTGGGCGATATCCCTCCAGCGCAGGTTCTCGTGCGGAACCAACCACCACAACACCAGCTCTTCCGGCAGCGAATCAAGACCGATCGCGAAACTCTCGAGCCAAAAGTTGTTTTCCAAACTCAGGAAAAGAGAGTGAAACCGAAGAAAGCTAGTCGTCTATTCCAACCCGTCGAGATTAAATTCGAAGAAGACCAGCTGCGAAAGGAGTTTTACCGGGACCACCCTTGGGAACTTGCGAGACCCCGCGTCCTTGTCGAAACTTCCGGCAAAGACTTTGAGAAACACAATTGGGGACGGCTCCAGCAGCCAGGGAAGAAATTGGATGGTGAAAGGTGTGTATAGTCATTCCCTTCCTTTCCGGGAAGATGCTTCCTTCCCTTGACCTTGATACTATTGCTTGTGGCCCTACTAACTCTCATTCCCCCAAAATAGTGTGGTCCAACGCCAACTGTGGCTTCTGAATAACACCCCCGATATAACAAAGACCGAAGCTTACGACATTGCCCGCCGTGAATTCTACCAACTCCGCTTGCAAGAAGACATCGAACGACGGGTTGCTGCGGAAGAGGCTGAAGCAACCGGCGCCGAATTCGGACCTAATATGCTTTCTTTGGGTATGGAATTGGAGGACAAGGAATTCGAGCGCTGGAAGGAGTGGGCCCAGATGGAAGCTCAGCTCTTGAACCAGAAAGCAGCGTCCTTTAGCGGTGCCCCGGAGAGTGCGGAGAGCGAGGATACAGCTGCTTTGGACGAAGGCGTGGAAGAGGGAGCTGCAGTGACCGCGGAGCCTACACCTCGACGTAGTCTTCTTTGATGCGTTAATAGTACTTGGTTTATATGGGTTGGTTATGTCCTGGGAGTCGGATACCAGACGCACTGTGGCACATGTATACTATTAGATTTTTCTTATTTTTTTCTTTTCTTTGGTTGTTATGATATGATGCCAAAATGTATAAAAGGGTAAAAATCGGGGTACTTTCACTTTCACCACTTTTTTCTCTCAAACAATACAAATGCAACCATCTATTCAAACATTTCCAATCTACAATACTCAATAATTCCATACAATTCCATAGCTTATTCTCTGTTTTCTTCGAATTCCTTTTTGATACAAGAGTGTAGTGACAGCGGCTACCGGCCAATCAAAGAGCCGCAACCCTGTCTCTCGTCCTCCCTGAACCAGAAAAAGAGATACTGTCCAACACCTCCTCCACGGCCTGAATAGGACTGGATTCCTATTATTCCCCTTGAACTATTCCGTCGTTTATCGCCGCTTCGATTCCGTCCTCGTTGCTTCGGCTGCAGAATTCCCTTCCTTTTCGATCGGGTCGGCGCTGGTCTCGCGGCTCCGTGTTTGGCGTCAAGTCCCTTCAGCAATAGTGCATTCTGACCACCACATCTCATGAGCTTTAGTTGATAAACTGATCTGTCATGACACTTGGGGTGTTTCCGACACACGACTCGATACGGCATATTACTGTTCTGGAACGAAACTCGCCCATCCCCCCCCGAGCACTGACGTGACTGTCCGGACTTTGTTTTGCGCCTCAGGACCGACTCCGAGTCTCTGCACGGATCGCAATCCCATCTCATCGCACTCGGCCGGTGTACACGTCGATATCTTCGCTGTTTTTCAGTCATCTGATAATGCTCTATTTCGATCCTTCTCCGTACCCCGTGGAATTTCTTTCCGTTTGAATGGTTCGTTCGGAGCGAACAACGGTTCATAATAATATCGGGTGATACACATCGGCAGGCCTTTGTCTTTTTATTTTTATTTTTATTTTATTTTTTATTATTTTACTCCGTTTGTCTGCCAAAGCCAGCGCGATCGACAATGCTTTCTACAATGGTTCGTCCGGAGGACACGATTAGGGTACCCCGTCTATACCATGGCAATGAGGAGGATACCGGAAGCAGAGGAACGCCAGAACCGAATATCCCCCCTCTTTCTTCCACCAACGATGGCCAACCCAAAAGTGAATCAGAAACGTCACAAGGCAATGGACACATGGGCGAAAGTGGTAATAGGACCAGCGGCAGCGCGAGACCTCACCCAGGCCCTAAGCTGCTTTCGCAAGAGGAGACCACTGAAATTACCCGTCGTGCAGTGGAGAATGGGATCCAAGAGACCAAGCGTTCGCTGGCCGGAAACGAGGCTGTCAGTGACGTTGTTAAGCCAAAACTGACGATCGATCTGGGCCATTCGAATATTGTCCGTATTCCCGAACCAGTGGTCGATATCATCAAAGATGAAGTTGAAAGGTGGGTCTGTTTCAGTGCTCCCTAAAATACGACGAACTCCAATCGAGTAAGACATGCGTGGAGACCTAGGACTAACTAGTAGCAGACTCTCACTGTCGAATAATCATATCTTTCACATCCCTTTCCGTTTCTCAGAGTGCTCCCACCTACGATACCTTAATATTCGAGCAAACAATTTTCGGGAGTTCCCAAAAGGAGTACGGCGCCTGCCATTCGATGATTGACACTGGCCAATACTAACATCTGGCACTAGGTGTACAAATTGCCACTCCTGGAAATCCTGGACATCAGCCGAAACAAGATCAGCCATTTACCGGAAGAAATCAAGAAGTTGAACTCCCTACGCGTCTTGTCGGTGATGCAAAATCGTCTCGAAGATTTACCTCTTGGACTATCAGAAATGAGCAAGCTCCAGATCTTGAAAGTCGCCGGGAATCCGTTAAAGGCCCCTTTGCGACAAGCGTTGGAGGACTCAGAGACGGTAATCGCACCTTCGATGTCTGATAATGAAAAAGAAGTTGCAGTAACTGCGGAGCTGAAACGGTTCATGAAAACACGGCAACTGGACACCACCCTAGAGGTGGAAGGTCACGGCGAGCCAAGGTACGGCGTCTGGTTTAATAAAACGTGCGGGCTAGATGACTGAACTATTCCCCAGTGACGCAGTACTCGAGACCCCCAAGCCCGTCAAGCGTGGACTAAACAGTCGTTTCCCTGTCATCCCGAGCACTGGTGACGGTGCCTCTGGTCCTAGGTCACCTTCACTATCACGGCCCCCGCCAATCCCTATCAAGTCACATTATCGTATTGCTTCTGGGCAGACTCCCTACCAAAGCGGCGTACTCCAGCGCCCGGGAATCAATCCTATACCAGCCAATGAACGCAATCGGAGTAACAGTGAGGGAATCATACAAGCCTCGATAGCTGCCCGCAGCAAACGCATGGGCGTCGTCAATCGGAAAAATACGGATTTGGGTACCTTGGATGAGACGCGTCCATATCGAAACAGTCACTTCCGTGGGCTTAGTCACGGCTCTCTTCTCAAAACAAGACCGTCTGGGGCCGCGGCTGGCGGTAATTCATCGAGTCCAAGCAGTCCCAAGGAACGGAGACGACTGAGGGACGGTTTCGTCAATAGAATGTCGAGCTTGCCAGAACACAAAGGCGAAAAGGAAACGCCAGATCCTATCATTGAAGGTGCCAAAGGCATACTATTCGCACTCTTCCAGGTCCAGTCGCACGTGTCTGCTTTGATTAATGTGATCAAACGGGACGACTCTCGAAGGAACAGTCTTGAAATCGTCTTCTACAACGCGTCTACTCATGTGGACCGACTCAACGAGGCTCTTGAAGGCGTGGAAAACCCAGAGGATACGGACGTGGCGAAACTGTCCAATGAGACGGTTAGGCGCGAGTGCGAAACTTGCATAATGGCCTACACGCACGTTGCTATGCAGCTGCGCAATAGCCTAGACAAGATTATCGCCAACGGAGACGCGCGTTATGTTCGTTCCTTGATGCTTATGGTGTACGGGGGTGTGTGCGAACTACGAAATGCCTGCATGGGCTTAGGAGTGCCCCTAGGAACTCGCAAGCGAGTATCATCGATCAAACCACCTATACCAGAAATCAACAAAGAGAGTGCCAGTGTCACCTCAGACCGCTTCCCTGGACCAACAATGATATCAACAAGGGATCGAGCTCCGTCAGTGCGCCGATTCCGCAGCGACACTACTATCCAGCGTCCTCAGTTTGCAAATGGACCAATACCAGGGCCAGGCAATTTCCAGTCTACGGTCAGCTCACCAGGCTTTGCTCCCCCTTCATTTAGCTTCGGATCGCGCAGCCGGTCGAGTAGCAGATCCAACCTTATTAATACATCAGTACCCTCGTCCCTTGCGACACCACGCTCGGGCGAATCGTTCCCACCGATTCCTAGCTCAGTCGTGCCGCGGATAAACCCAATGACGGGACTAGATGAAATTGAGGAAGAACGGATATTCGAGAAGATTTTCCACCAGCTCACCGCAGCATACACTGCCTCTCTTCAAGCATTACCCTTGGCCCGTCGTCAGTTTATGAGATGCCTAGAGGTTGCAGAGCATGCACGAGAGCCCCAGGGAATACAGATGTTATGGAACAACCTCATTCGTCGATGCCGCGTGTGCTTAGAAGTTTCAGAAGCGCTTGGCCTACGCCTTTCGAACATGAAGGTCAAAGAGCCAGGCGGTGGAATGCGCAACCAGCGCGAATTCTGGCAGCTGTGCAAGACATTCATGCATTCATTCGTCGATCTTGTAACCGACATGCGCGAGATCAGAAGCATGCAACTCCTCCCTCCCGACATCGTCATAATCCTCCGCCCAGTTCAACGCGCAAGCAGGGAAGCCGGCCGATTGATAGAGGCATCCCCTTGGTCGTATCTCGCAGATATGGCCGCGAACAACGGACCGGGGAATATCTACGGACCACCATTGCAAGGACAGCATCAAGGGTCCGTTTCTAACCCAAGTGGTTTTGGAATGGGCTCGCCTCCGTCTCTTCCCCTCCCGGCGACTCCATTGAGTGCGGCGCTTGGTCCTGCTGCGCAAGCCACTGTGCCTTCTACACCGGCCAGTGCGTATAGTGATAAATTCTTCGAGGGAGACGTGTTTCAGCGAGCCGACTCGTTGCTTTCTATGCCAAACCAGGCACCGTTCTTCCGTCGGTGATGCTACCGTCTAATTTCCCTTTTCCATTACCTAAAACATGTGCAACAACTCGTGCTTTCATGTCTTCCTATGTCAGCAAATGACATGTGTATGAGGTGGATTCATCTCAGATACAAGGAAACACAAAGCCCAAATTATGGATGATGATTTATTGAGAACTGATATGTACACAACCTCATGACCTGTTTTTCTTTTCAGTTTGTTCGTTTTCTCTTTTGTCTGGGATTGATGGGGCAAGGAATACAAGGTCATGGAAGGGATTTAGCAAGGATGGAGTATGGTATTTGTTTTCCCCTTTCTAGTTCTTTGCATAGCGGATGGGTAATAGAAAATAAAATATTAAACTTAGTCGTTATTTCCATGCCTTGAAAATGTAGGAGCTTCCTCCCATCCACAGCATTCATTTTACAACCAGCACAACCAATCAAAAACAAAACCATCTATAAAACCCAAAAAAATCTAAGCAACAACAACATCCCTAACAAACGCAAACATCTCTCTCCCCTTCTTCGCAAAAACACTATGCCCTGCCCCATGGAAGAAATGATAACTCAACCCGCGCTCCTCTCCCCAAGTCCCCACCACAGACTTATCCTCACTCTTCTTCCCATCATCCGGTCTAGCATCATCACTGTAGAACACCTTCGACGGCTCCTCCGCGAACCCCTGCGCGCCGTTCCAGGTCATGTTTTGCAGAACGAGTTCTGTGCCGAAGTGGTTGAGCAGAAAGTCGTTTTCGCCGGAGTACACGTGCACCGCAGTGCTGCCGCTATTGAGGATTGAAGAGAGGATGGAAAATGTAGGTGGTATCGGGATGGTGAATGTTTCGGATAGAGCTAAGGTTGCGAGGATAGCATTGCTGCAGGCGGAGTAATGGGCCGGCGAGTCTGTCGATGGAGGGGGGGATGTTGAGTGCTGTTTGGACGTCTGCGCGGCCGAAGTACTTCGCGAGGATAGGGAACGTGCTGATTTTGTCGCAGCCGTCGTTGATGTCATACTGGCTGAAGCAATTGGTCTTGGTGTAGAGGTAGTTCACGGCTGTGTTGAAGGTTGCACAGGAGCCGAGGCAGTCTGTTTCATTCAGTATGGAGGATAATACACCGTCTGCGTCGGTTGCGTGTGGGTAGCAGTCTGCTCCGTTGATGAGCTCGTCTGAGCCTTTCAGGGTGTAGAGGTTATCTGGGTTTCCGGGGATAGGGATCTGGCCGGATTTCGGGGGGGAGGTGTTTAGTTTTTGAACGATTTTGTCGAAGCCACATTCCTCGCTTCCTTCGGTGAAGGCTGAGATGATGTCGTCGGGGATCTGGAGGGCGGATTTTTGGGATTCGAGGTATTTCCCGACAGTCACGGAGGACATGGCTGCGGGGTCTCCTATCGTGGGATCGCCCATGGACAGGGAAGCGAGGTCTAGCGGGAAGGACCCTTGGTTCTCGATGATGGCGGATGCGAAGTAGGGGATGTAGAAGCCTGCATAGGACTCTCCGATTAGGTGTACGCGTTTCGGAACAGCCTGGGCCGCCGTTGAGCCAGACTAGTCTTGTCAGCTTGCATATCTTTGGAGGTTGGTGTTGAGTCGACTAACTGATAAGATTGTCATCGTACGTAGAATCCTCAGCCTCGACAAGCCAAAAGAACAACGAGTTACCGTCCTCCATATCCGGAACAGAAAGCCATCCAGCCCAGCTGGGCGGCAAAGAAGGAGCCCCGGGAAGCGAATGGACTTCGAACTGGGAGATGCTCGAAGGTGTCTGGTCAACCCGGGCCGCCAGCGACGCCGGGATTGTCCACAGGGCGTGGAATCTGGATAGGAACATGGCGATATTCATGTAGTCTGCTGTACCGTTTCGGTATGAAAACGCAGCTTGGAAAGAACTTGGTAAGATTCTGTCCGTTTTCGATAAAATTTCTCCAATCCATGATGCAGGAACGCGGATTAAAGTAGTCTGTAGGTGCTTCTTTCACCACGTGGGAGGCGTTGGGGTTTCAGGGTGCTGATTATTGAGGGCTATCCGAATCTTGACCTCAATAGCGGCGGCTTATTGAGCCGGAGGGCCAAGGTGAATAAATTGGCTTCATGTTGCAGAGGTCGCAAAGGCAATGAAATGAACTGAGTATCTTTTTATTGTCAGTATCATGGATATCAATAGTAATTGATGGATTTCAACCCTTTGAGTTGCTATTCTAGATATGGCGTTGTAGTGGTCGTAGTCGGGCTTTCCGGTACGGCTTCCACCCAACTGTGATAAAGTCGGGAAAGTAGTTATATCAATATCTATCATCTTTTCGCTTCTGGTTTTATACAAATGCATTTAATATAAATATATAGTTACGACGTACCCCTGAGACTACAGAATTGTCGTAGTAGAAGCTGGTCATGTGATTGTAGGGTATAGGGCTAGGACCATAACGGCTTTCTCATCGACTATCGACGACTTCGACCTTCATCATCATTGTCTTCCTAGGGTTTGACATCGTTGTCCATTGTTTCCCTCGATCTGGTGGCAATCCGGGTACGAAACAGTTTGCTAGACGATCATCCACCTGCATACGATCGCAGCCTGAAGCGTAGCCAACGCAGTGATTTCAGTTAGGCATGCAGCATTCCCCAGGACAACCTTGTTTTCTTGCCCAGTATGCGTCCAGTATGCCCAAAATCGAAGCAAGCATTGTACCGCCACCATTATGCAGCTTGCCCTGTCCAATTGCACTAGTTAGTTAACGCTTCTCTGCTGCAGCCTCGCGGATAAGGCGAAACGCGAGCATCGTGGCGAAAAGAACCATCGCAATGGAGCTGAATAGCAATGACTCGCCATGTACTGTTGAAAGTGAGGCGCCAAGCATAATCATGTCTCGAGTCTTTCAGCTGCCACTCTTTATGCATCTTGCATGGACTGTACGACATTGATATAGAAGTCAGACCACATGATACATCGTGTCGCTGGGCTTTGCCGGGACAACGAGACAGCAATCAGAGTCAGATGCCAAGAAACATGAGGCTAGAGGGGGGAAATAAAAAAAAGAGATGAATGCGCGTACTGCCGTCCGTGCCTATGCGGACCGCAGGGCCTTAGGTTCAAAACAAACGAGCTCCTGCTTCTGCTCGTGTCGACTGACTCGGACGCACGGAGACAGCACTGAGTACAGAATCCATCCCGCGCGTCCTTGACTCCGTATAGTACTCCGTACACGGGTCGTAATCGCCTCGTTGCGGTGCAGATGTTTTTATCTCGGCAGAGTAGCCGGATGGGCGTCTTGATTTTTAATAATACACTAATCTAGATGCGGAATAGTGCCCAATCGTCCAATACCTGCCATACAGAGACAGCATTCCTTTGTTTTCTGTGCTACGGTGAGATGACAAAGTTTCAAGCCACATCTACAGACTACGTGGTACCCGGGCGATATCCTGCATAGATGACGGAACCGGCCCTACCGGGAGGCAGTATGGGGTCGATGGATATCCCGACCATGCTTCAAATTCCCACCAATAACGCTTTGCCGGAGTATAACCTTCGAATAGAGCCCTGTATGGAGTAAGGATTCGACGGCGAGGGTTTCATGACGTCGTACTTTAGATAGGTCTAATCTGTCGTTTTATCTGATATCGCACTGTGCTTGTACAAGTATACAGGCGGGGCAACGCAGGGGAGTGTTGTTTGGAGTGGACTCGGCGAATTAGCTTCTTTTCGGCGCCGTCGCCGTTTGACTCTTGCGCGTGTGTCGAAGCCTAATCAGTGGACAGGAACAGAGAATATCCCATTTGTTTTGCGTACGAAGCAACGTCGGAATAATCAGGCCGGAATCAGCAACACGCCTGCCCTGGTCATAGAGTCGGTATGCTGGCGAAAGTACACTGATTATAGCTCTTCAGGCGGTATCCTAACTTATACATCAGAAACAAGATCTCGGTGTAGGTATACACCCAGGTTCTTTCCACCAATGACTATTCCGGGAGGGCTTTCAGAGTCAAGATCAGATGGCTTAGAACATCGATCTGTCTCAGAGGTGTCAAGGCAGGATTGGATTTGCCGTTCATAGGCGGAATGCCTATGGTCGGGGCGTTAAGGATATTATCATCTTATAAGCTATGAGATAGTTATACAAGTAGAGACTCGATGAAGCATCTCAAAAATCCATGGAGACTGGGTGTTTAAAAAATAGAGTAGAGGTCGATCTCTAATTTAGCCTATTGACCTCGGCCGATGAGTACGGAGTAGAACCACAGGAGTATGGGGCAAATACCACGCACCACGCCGTATGAGCAGTAAGAAATAAACTCGACAAGCAAGGACGAGGAATCATAAGATCCGTTGCACGAGTGTTGATTGACCAAACGGAGTGCTTTGCCGTCGTTTTCGGCTCCCCGATCGAGAATACACCGGTTGAGTTTGAAAGATCCTTGGATCGGGGGGACCACGGAGTACTTCTTTGAGTCTATACAAGTACAAGTATGCTATCCAGAGACCTGCAGCCCGAGTACACCGTACGCAGGGAGAGTAATAATTGTCATCCTGCAGAACGATAATGCTCAAATCCGGAAATGGACAGATTCCGACTGCAAAAGACGACGGTCGCATTGGACGGAGTAGAGTAGCATCACTTCTGCGCCTGAATCGCGGGTGGTTTAAGTAGTTCCGCAAGCGTCTCAAACAGCCTCACTTTTTATGGGCGATCCCCGATGTTGGTTCCCCCATTCCGCCGTTCTCGACAAACACTACAGGTATACAGAGTACTACAGGTACGGATACTGTTGTTACTACAGAGATCTATGCTACTGTTTAAGCAGTGTCTCAATCGCAAGCAACCTTGCAGCCTCCGAACGCATCCTGAATGATGGTGTATATGAAGTAGACATGGCCATCCTGACTCTCTTGCCGCTTCTGTTAGTTGTTGCTGCTGAATTGATTGGGCTACTACCGGAGGGATTCCATTGTTGTTATTTCCCTCTATTATTAAAGTGTGTTGTTTGTCCCTACTACTACTACTGCATCTCATTGAGCACCAGTCGCCTCGTGCTTCTTACCGTGTTTAAATTAAAGAGAAAAAAAAGTTTCCTCCTTTGATCGCTTTTCAGTGGCACTTTCTTTCTTTTTTTTTTTTTTTTTTTTTTTTTTTTTT